AACTAATTCCGACACAACTTGAATTGGACACACACAGATCGTTCAAAGCTTTGTACAAAAATTGAAATTTGCTTAATTAAAAGCCTAATAGCTGTTAATTAAAAGGTAATTAAGTAGTGTTCAATATTCGTTAGTGTTCTAATTCAAAGCCGTGTTGTATCCCAATACAGCTCACACAGCAAACGGAATTCAAACACGTGTATGTCGGCAATACGTATCAGTTAAATTTGAAGCGCTGACGCAATACGACTCACCACGTGTCGGATGTTGCCACACAAAGTGACGGAATATAGGGATTTGGTAGGTTTCCATTCTAAAGGCTTTTTAATAAATATGGCAACATTTTGTGACGTTTCATCGTTGCTGACGCATAGTGAAGTGTTTTGAGAGTCATGTGAAGGCAACAGAACTTACGTAATGCATACGGTTTTTTTTATAGTTTTTCATTTTTCGATGCGTCCTTAATATGTCGGAATATACCGCGTTTACCCTACTTATAGGGCTTAAAAATAAATTTGAGCCTTGAGGAAGAACAACAAAAAATGCACTCTTGCCACAATGGCTGGTCCCTGCCACAATGACTGTAGCAAACTAAGCAAAGTGTAGCTTCTGAGTTTTGACAAATACAAAATTGACGGTTCACGCCTCACGGTAGGGCATAGTGGCAATGCTGAGAGTTTTTTAGACTCTCCCTCAAGTTCATTTTTGAGTCCTATATCACTATATGTAGACCAGTAAAGTATCCTAGATACCTGCATTATCATACATAAGAAATTGGTGTAAATTGTGAGTAAATGAGGAAATTATAAATGAACTGATTGTAAAAAATCTGTGGTTTGTCACTATGCGGTAAATAATAGCCGGTAGGGGACTGGAAGTGGGAGTAGGCTATGGCCGCCAGGTCACGCCTGACGCCGCTGCGGCATTTGGCTCATCAGGTTTGTTGGCATACTAAGTCTGTTGCTGCCTATTTTAAGAATGAAATAAATAGATGCTAACAGAGAATAGTTTAAATAAAATGAGCAGAACAGTCACAAAACTTAAAAAATAGTAGTCAATGATACTCGACAAAAGCATTGTCAATAGCCAAAGGCCCAAAACGGACAGCTAAGCCCAGGGCAGAGCAACCAAATCACATTAAGATTAACCACCGTCCGTAGCCGCAATCGGAATGTTGAGTTAATGTCGCAAAGGCTATCAACGTACCTACATGGTTGAAATATATACTAGGTAGTTCAACCATGATCAACGTAGGTCAACCAATTTGTCCCAGGCCTTCAAGATCCATGAGAATGCCACAGTCTGACAGTCTTATGCATGCTGACCGGTTCCAGCATATTCGAGAACAAGTGCGATGTGCATGCCGGCCGTAATTTATCGTCACACGAAAATTTTTTTATACCCTATATAGGGTAATGATGAAACATCTGAGGTAGAAACGTGACAATGGGCATCATTCACACAGTGAACCATGGCCGGAGGTAAAATTGCTCCTAAGAAGTAGATCATATCATTGGTGACGAGCTCCATCCCAGCATCATGTCATCAGACGAGCTCGATCATCAGCAACGCCAATCGAAGTCGGCGAGAAGTCTGTGGCTGGCGGAGGTACGCAGCCATGCACCACCAAATTTGTGTATCAATCAGCCTTGAAAGGAACGCCTAGCATATTTCCGGATGACTACCAATCAGCCATGGATTAAGCCATGCGACGGTAGCCAGCCCGTGACAAAATCTTGCTTTAAATATTAGGATATATGCTAGGCGTTTCTTTCAAGGCTGATTGGTGCACAAATTTTGTGGTGCACGTCTGCGTACCCTACCGCAGTAATGTGACATTCGTGCATTCACTCAACAACAATCGCACCAATTATTACAGAGTACATAATAATATTATTATTCTTATAAGTATAATAATAATATAATATATAGTAATACTAATATATAATAATAATACCGCCCGCCCGACCTGACCAGAAACTGGCGCACAGAGCTGAGATCGAACCCGTGCCTCCCTGCGCGAATTTTGTTACTCTGAACTTTAACCACTGAGCCAACCTGCCGCTGATTTCAAGGCTGATTGGTACGTGAAATGATAATCAAAAGACACAAGAATATTACAAAGAAACGAAAACACGATCACTTGAAACGGAAACCTCCCACGACCAGCGTTCGAGCAGTGAGCGTTGAGTAGGTGACGTGCCTGATAGTTATGCTCTGAAGCGTTTAGTTCGTTTAAGGATTACATTATATTTGATATGTTTATGTGAACATGACACCTTGCCCGGTTGACTGTCAACGTTCATTAGTTGAGCGCTGATTTCAGTTGACGTTCTGTTTAGGCGCCGCCCTCACTGCGTTGATCGGATGTCTCGGACAAAAACGCGGCCTGTCTCGAGACTGGCAGTGAGACAGGCCGCGTTTTTGTCCGAGACGTGTTGATCGGTGACTAATCTTGTTAGGTGAACCTGGCACTTGTGTGCGATACTAATAACTTGACACTAATAGCCGATGAGACAGATTTGCGCTTTCAAACTTATTACTTGGGAACATTGGTCCTTTGGCGCTATAGGCCGTTAAATTAACATATGAGAAGGAATCAGCTTTGTCACGGGCGGCCAACACATCTACAATACAGATACTTTAGGTTTAAATTGACAATTATGGTTGCCAAACTTGGCACACTCTGCCTGAACTTTACACTAGTGAACACATCGAAACCGATGTTCAAGACCACTGAAATTGGCACTGATAATAAGCCTCACTTGACACTCTTGAGGATATTATTATGACAGCATAGATTCTCTCGGTAGCATCACTGAGCGCAATTCACCGCACCGTCTTCTGTGGCAGCGACGGCGTTCGTGCGACCTTTATCCTCGACCATCGGATCCGACACGAAGAACTTTCCGCTTGCTTTTCACCACCCCAGTAGTAGAACTCCCATCGAAAGAACTGAGATGTTATTTAATCCAGATTGATTGTAAAGTTCGTCCTCGACGCGCTCACCACATTGCCCGAGTGAGTGTCGCTGATCTCTCCGTATTGGATCCGATTCTGGGGGTGCTGTCACCACACCCTACACGACAGCCGATGTTGGTGATACCATCAGGGTACTCGACCGACGAGCCGATGTAGACAATACTCGCACCGCACTCCGCTGATGAACCCATGTAGGACTGGACATCGGCACTCCGCACAGGAGCCGATGTAGTCGGAACGGGCTTCGCGCCTCGTTGAAGAGCCGGTGCAGGCGAGACAGGCGTCTGACAACGCACTCCGCTGAGGACCTGATGTAGGCGAGACTGGCACCGGGCTTTGCCGAGCTACCGATGACTATCGGCTGCTTAGCACCGAGTCGATGTGGGCAATCCCACTCAAATGTCACTAGGGTGGGCGACTGTGTTCGGTGCCTCACTACGCAGATGTACGTATGACTGCACCCAGGACGAGCCGCTGTGCTTGGCGTCGCAGTGGGTGACCAAACTTAGTTCTTTTTGAATCTTTTAAGAATTTTAGATCATTTCAATGCTTTAGTTATTCGAACGAACCTGAATGTGCTAGAAAGTAATTGAAATTTCGTGGTGCCTTAGGAATGAACATGTTATTCGAAAATGACTATTTAACGGTTCTAACACAAAATTATTCTAAATATATTATAAGATTTGTCTGAAAATACTGCCAATATCAAATTTTCAAAGCCGCCACAGTGTTAGGACAGAGGATCATCTCTATGATCTCCTTATTGACTAAGAATCTTTTGCAATTTCTCAGTTCCGTATTCAAGTCAGTTTCAGTCCTATTGAGGAACAAGGTTGCAATCTACAAATTTAGGGCAATATTGGTATTTTGGGGTAAGGATGCTTGAGTCATGCCCCATCAATGTTTCTCTTTAGATTCTACCGGATCCACGAGTCTGTGCATGTCCCTGCTGTGTCAAAATTTTCAATTCTCAAAAAAATTGATCTTATTGCGAATAAAATAATTTACCACACAGCAAAACAAAATGGTAAATATTAATGTTATATTATTAAACTATTTCAGGTGCATATTCTATCATAGTTTTTGTATTGGCGTTTTTCCATAATGAATAATGATTTGTTTTTCTGCTAAAAATACTCAACTGCCCAGTAAAAAAGTACTTGAATTTTACACTAGGCCTATGTAGCCTAGTTACTTGATATATTTAAAAGGTTGTTGACATTGATGTTTCTTGCTTTTTATTGTATCAATTGATATTAGCTCAGTATAAATACAGTATAGGCCTATCTATCATCAATCATCATCATGTAGTATTTTCCAGGCATTTTTCCCTTTAATAATAATAATAATAGCGGTTTCAGCGTTTAGTAGGCCGTAGGCCTGTCGTTGATTCTTAACATCTCAGAACATTCACAGCATTTTGAGGTCTGAGGTCTCGAACTTGCAACTCACTGGTCACTGCTACGATTCTGCTTTGCTTAACCGCCCGGCCTCCTTGCCGATTCTGAGTTTCTGACCAGAAACTGGCGCACAGAGCCGGGATTGAACCCGCGCCTCTCTAGTGCGTCAATCTTGGTACTCTGAACTTTAACCACTGGGCCACCCTGAAAAATAAATGGGTGGCGCCTGAGCCACCAAAAAACTTGAGATTTTTCATGAAAGGTGAAATTCAATTAAATTGCTTAATTATCATGTTGCAGACTGGCAACATTACTTGTATAGTGTAGAGTGTCAGTGACAAATTTCAAGTGATTATTGAGTCATTTGAGTGATTTCTAGAAACTGGTTCATTTTTAATTTTCTGATGTAGCTACCTCCTTTTAAATTTTATTCAATAACCATTACGATTAAATAATAATGCTGGTATGACTGAGTGTTGTTGTATTATGGTGGACCAGAGTTGTATTATGGTTACATCATTACATGGCAATGGATCCATCCACACTCATTCAGGGATAATGAGAATAATTTTTCTAAAAATTGAAGCAAAAAATGCTACATCTATAATATTTAAAAATTGCAATCAGAAAATAGATTTTTCTTTATTATTGTAATGATTTGGATAAGTGCTGTAGCATTTGTAGGAATGGGTGAAGTTATCTGCTATCATTGGCATTTAGGCTATGTCTCATTCACTGATTGCTTCTGAGCAATTTTCCAATTTAGAAAAATATCTGTGCTTGGCAATCATTGGCAACAGGTGCAGAATATATATACTTTCCTAGTTTCAAGTTGAATCTAGAGCTTTCCCTTTATTTTATTACTACGTTTTTCTTAGCTCGCTTTCGTGTCTGTCTGTCTGTGATGATCAAATCTTGCAATCGATATTTCACCAACTTTCCCACTAGCTAGCGTTTTGAAACTTTTAGGGAAGCTCAGCTCCCGATAACAATACAGTTATCAATAATTTGTTGCACAATTCCAGGCGTATATACTATATATAGTTTATATATAGTAAGACGTGCGGCCGCTCACGTTATAGACGAGCAGTCGCTGACGTTGCGTATCATCGATACGTACGTCAAGTTAAGTAAATTGGCTCGCAACAACGTTTTTCATGTGTAACAACGGACTAAAAAGTAGAAAATAAAATACATAAAAATAACTTTTTTTAAAAAACTACGTTTTTTTCTTGTGGACTAGAAAGTAGAATATAAATTATGGCCCGCCCCAAAAAACGTGTGTCGGGCTGTACGTTCACCATCAAATTTCCAAAATTCGTGTGTTGTGTGCTTTTCGTTTCAATCATAAATCTGCCCGACACACGTTTTTTGGGGCGGGCCATAATTTATATTCTACTTTCTAGTCCACAAGAAAAAAACGTAGTTTTTTAAAAAAGTTATTTTTATGTATTTTATATAGAGCTGAGATTCCTGCTACTTGAATTATATATATCTCCTATCAAATTATTAATGAATGTTCAATTTTGAATGGTTTGATTGAAAATTCCTAGAAAATATTTATGAAACTACAAAATCAGGCATAAGCCACCCATTAACGAGACAAAGAAGTGCCTGTGATTGTTGGAAATTGTACCTATTCCTATGCCTAATTTATTTTATAACTATTAGATATTTTGCTTGTGATTTTTTAAATAGCTTCTTATGCCAATAATTTAACATTCACAATTTGTTAAGTCATTGTTCAGATGTAAGATGATGGCTATATTAATATTTAATTTTATTTTGCAGGCAGTGTCACTCAACCCTGTTCAGATTATGAAAGACCAGGCGGAGGAGGAGCGATCAGAAACTGCTCGATTATCTTCATTTGTTGGAGCCATCGCAATTGGAGAGCTGGTGCGCTCCACTCTTGGTCCTCGTGGAATGGACAAAATTCTATATTCAGTAGGACGCAGTGAAGGTGTGTTAGAAATTTTTTTTAAATTAAGTATCCATTTGCCCATTCATGGAAGAAATTTTTTATTTTTATATTGAGTTTTTCTGAAAGGCAACATAATTTTTGATGTTGATGATCTGTTTCTTTAAAAATTTTAAGATTATGCAATTGCAATATGATGCAAACTAAATTTGTGAAGTAGTTAGCCTTTAGTGGAGTTTTGACATGACTACTTTAATATAAATAATCTGCTTCAATCATCTCAAAGCATCCTGTCTTCAAGTGCTAATGATAAGGTCTGTGCATCTGTGTTATTTCTTACAAACAGAGAAGCTTATATTTCTGATTTCTTCCAGTAATATTGAATGATGTCTTTGTCTTCACAATGTGTTCTCCAGTCCAATGCCAATGTCAAGGTGAAAGTGGTATTTCTGAAATGAGGAATTTAGTCAAAAAATTGAATGCCCAAAATTTCCATTCAAAATAATTACCATATATTAGAGTTGATAATTCACAAATTCTACTAATTTTAAAATTTTAACTTCATCACATAAAGCTGTCAGTAACATTTCCTGATGTTCCATCTTTCCTAATTCTCCAAAATCTATATACATGATCATTATCTGAGGCAAATCATTTTGATGATATTAAAATTTTCTATAGAATTTAGTAGTACTTTTGTATAAATCTAGTTTATTTTTCTTTGCTTCTATAAAAATGATTAGATAGGTTTTATTAGTGATGTACCGTAAAATGGGGTAACTTAGACCACTTTTTTTTATAAATGATGCCATTTTTTTACTAGCTAAATTAAACTTGAATTGAAACATGCAAAATACAATTCTATACTCTAGCTTCACTCACCATAAATTGCTGGCTCCTGCCTCTCATAGTCTTTATGTAATTTCAAAAAATGTGATGGTCTTTGTTACCCCAGCTTGACAGGCTTTAAATAATAGCTTTTTTTTCGTGGGTCACATTTTTAATTTTTTAACCTATTAGATATGCAAACTTTTCAAATTTTTCTATTGTGTTATGTAGCCTCAGTATTAGGCCTTTAATGCCCATTGACAAAATTTTTCTATGTCAAATAATTTTTGAGTTGTGGGGGTTTTTGTTAAAAAAACAAAAAGTGGTCTAAGTTACCCCGCCGGTCTAAGTTACCCCATTTTACGGTATTTAACTCCTACCTTGTCTCTTATATTGACAACTGATCCACTTTATTATTCTTTATCCTTTAAACATATATCTGATGTTATTCTATTACAATTATTTACAACCCCAGGCAATGATTAGCAGGATTAATTTTATGCATTGTTTTTCAACTAGAATGATATAGTGTGTGTTGTGATATTTTACTAAGATCGCAGTTGTCATGCTAGTATATTAATCTGAAATATTTTTTCAGGTGAAATTGAAGTCACAAATGATGGTGCCACCATCCTGCGAAATATTGGTGTTGACAACCCTGCTGCTAAAGTGCTTGTCAACATCAGCAAAACTCAAGACGACGAGGTAGTATTTGTGTCCATGTCCTGCTCATTAAATATTTATGTATTGAGTGATACTAGTAGTTAGTACTGATAACCCACCAACTAGTGTAACCTGAGTTGATTACCATTGTTAATCAAGCAGCTAAGAGACTCCTGGGTTGGTGGTGTTCAGTTTAGATGTTGCAAAAAACAAGTGGCGCCCGTCTTGCTAAGCTGTTCAAATGCACAATGTCCTGGGTCCAAGACATCAGTAGGCACCTCTGACTCTGAGCATATAAATGATACTGTGTAGAGTGCGTGTGTCTAACATTAGGAATATCCTTGTTGTTTGTATTGTTGTGTTTGTCTGCTCTGAATTAACCCTTTTAAGAAACAAAGAAACCAAATTAATACTCCCAAAAAAACACTTCATGTACCTGACACTTCATAAAACGACCCAGGATGCCTCCATGAAACTAACCACGACCTCTTCCACCCCTGAAACAACTAAGCCTCAACCCTCGACCTTCATAAGCTAGAGGAATGAGCAGACTGTCCTATATTGTGTTCTGGGAATGAAACTCAGTTTATTCAGACAACTATAACTGAGAAAACGGCGGAAACATGCCACGGGACCCAGATGAGGGAACAATCGTTCCTTTTCTGTAGACCCAGTTTATTGGATAAAAACCTGATTGATCATCTAACCAGACATTCTGTTACAATTTCGTGGAGTTAGGTATGTGTTTGAAGCTCATTATAAACTCCTTTTGCTTTAGTTTGTTGATAAGGCTTGTCATCACATGATATCTCTTGTATAGATTATTAGATATTAATGCAGTAATGGAAGCTTTCTGGAAATTTACCCTGAATCCCCAAAATTTGAAACACAAGGGTTTTGTATCAATAGGTAGCTCTTACCATCATCAGCGTGATCTTCTTGCACAGCTAGCCATCGCCTCTGAGGAGTCCAAGACCTTTTCCAACGGCCATTTCCTAACTATTGCCAAATACACGCTGAAGTGGTTGCAACTAGTGTCCACATGTGCTGTTATTTCACTACCTGCAGTTTTAAATTAATCAGAAACGTGTGGATTTTCAAATAACTATGATAATGCTAGGCCAATAAATAAGAGTATTGGTTGACACAGGTTGCGGCAACACCAGCAATGCTTGTGCAGTAAAGTTGTTAAGGCCCATTGCCACAATATGATGCTTTAGGTTTATTCATGGTCGCAATTAGAATTGTGACTGAGAAATGCATGGTAGACAATTCAATGAAGAATAGTAAAACCCACACATCGCGCCTTATGCTAGCTGCGGCTGTGTGGTGTCCTCTTCTCTGACAAGTTGTAAGGAGTGCCCCACCAAGTTCTCTATAAAGCTAGTGATTGATTTTTGCATACTTAAGGGAAGTATTAAACTGTTTAATTATATAATCAGATTAAATATCTCTCATTTTCTAGTATCAAATTTGTGTAATCTGTGTACTGTGAAATTTGTATGCCATTATCCGACGTAATGACGCGGCCAAACCATAGAAAAGTATCAAGAGTCCAGATATAAGAACCATCTGACTGCTCCGAGCTCTACTCAACACCCAATCATTCTAGTCTAGTGCTATTCTGACCTAGTCGCAGATGCCGCCTCTCAGCCCAGACGATATTGTTCCTAGTGATGCAAGTGATAAAGCAGGAGCTATGGTTGTTGGTGATGGCCCTGACGTGAATAGATTTGATGTTCCAAACTCAATGAACGAGAGCATCATGCCTGTTGCTGCGCCTACAGTCTCTTACAGACCACTTCCATCTGTTGTATACCGGAACATAAATCTGGAAAGCAATAATACCAATTCAACTAATGTTCCTAATAACCAATTCTACTAATATCCCTATGTATTTTCGAAAATCTCAATTTCAATGTGCCTCCTAATGCTGAATTCGTCAGAATAGAACCCATTGCAGATCTTGATCTACCTAATGCATGTTCATGGTTTATATACTATGCTAATAATTACCCTAAGCACAGCTCTTGCTAATTCACCATTTGGCAAAGATTTCTAAAAACCCTAGGCGTTAGCTTCTCCTTAAGATACAGGATGACTCGCCTGAAGACATGAATCAGCTCCCAGGGGCAAGCAAACTGGGTTTGTGGAGTTAAGATACCTCACCGAACCCGGAGGGGCATATCAGCTGACACTGGGAGTGATACAGGACCTGCACTAGGAACCTCAAACGCAACAATATAATTAATCTATCTGCAAGAACTATCAAAAAATTTCAAATTATGCCTTCGGAACTAAATTGAAACTACCTACCCTCATATACAGGCTTAAGCAGGGGAAAATGCTGCTTCTGCATTCCTTTCCCATTAACAGAAAAACAACAAAAATTCGTTATTTAAATTGACTTCAATATAAGAACACCAGCTGAGGACCAGAAGACATACACTGCAGAGTGCTAAAAAATTTAACTCAGTACTCACTGCAGTGAGTGACAGAGAGCGCATTTTCTCGTCAACGAAAACTTGAGGTCACGGACAGATGGACAGACAGACTGACGGACATGGCGAGCACAATAGTGCGTTTTTTCCATAAATAAGAAAATGTGCTAAAAAGAAGCCTTCCACTCACTGCCATAATTGCCATATGTGTGGACTTTTGACTCCATGCTAACACAATAGTGAACAGTCGCTCTTGTGGTCCGTAAGCTAAGCAAATCACCCTTTATGTAAGCTTAGAAAATCGCCCGAGCTACCAACTTATTGTACTGATTAACTGATGCGAGGGACAATAATGAACAACACACAAGTGCAAGACACAAATGCAACACAGAAACGCTAGTATCCATATAACAATAAACTAACCATTAACTAACCATCAGACTGCAAAATACGTAGTTCAAACCAATACTGAAAGAAAGTATACCGTGTGCATATTTCATGTAATGTAAAAAGTTTGGAGATCCAAAATGCTATCCTAATTACTATCCTATTTTTTTTGCAGGTTGGTGATGGCACAACCTCAGTTGTTGTACTGGCCAGTGAATTGCTGCGTGAGGCCGAAAAGTTGGTGGCTGCAAAGCTCCACCCACAAACTATCATTGCTGGCTACCGCAAGGCCACAGACGTCGCCAGGAAAGCCCTGGACGATGCAGCTGTTGACCATTCCAGCGACGAGGAGCGCTTCAGATCTGATCTCATTAAGATAGCCAAGACAACACTCAGCAGCAAAATCTTGTCGCAACAAAAGGACTTCTTTGCTGAGATGTGCGTTGATGCCGTGCTCAGACTTAAAGGCTCTGGGAACCTGGATGCCATCAAGATCATCAAAATGCAAGGGGGAACTTTATCAGACTCATTCTTGGATCAAGGTGGGTCCATATTTTTTTTTTTTGTCCTTTTGATCAAGAACAAATTATGTTATTGAAATGAGTTTTTTTCTTAAATTTGTTTCATTTTATGATGAGCTCCTTATACTTTGATTTGAATAAAGGATTCGTGATTCATTTTATTTGTGTGTAATTTATTTGGAATTAATTCAGGTCTCATCATACTTTTTGTTGATTGATGCATAATAAGCGATTCATTGCAATGATGCACAATTAACAACTGTGTTCATTAAAGCTTATTAAGGTGCAATGAGCTAAATATTTGTACAAAATTGTGTTCAAATTCTTTAACAGATATCATACTTTAGTAGTTATTTTTTTACATCTGGACTGTTTTTTTAGGTTTCAGTCAAATCGATTTCTGAGGCCTGGATTTTTTTCAGGTTTCATTCTAGAGAAAACCATCGGCGTCCATCAGCCGAAGCGCATCGAGAATGCCAAGATCCTTATCGCAAACACTCCCATGGACACTGACAAAGTCAAAATATTTGGGTCTAAAATTTCCGTGGAGTCCACTGCTCAAATTGCTGAAATTGAACTTGCCGAGAAGGAGAAAATGAAGAACAAGGTTGATAAAATTCTCAGCCACAACATTAACGTCTTCATCAACAGGTGCCATTCAGAACTGCCTATTGTGGCCCTATTAAGACGCATTATATATATATATATATTTTATGCATGCGTTGGTTGTGAATTAATATTCTGCAAAATTTGCATAGTTCTAAAATTTGTGACCATGGTTCCCGCTTTGTGGGAATCTGTTGAATGTTCTAAAATTTCTCATAGTTACAGCATTTAATTTTTAAAGTTTTGTTCATTTGATGCTAAAGTGCTAAAAATACTATACAACCTCTTAAAATGTGTTCAGTATCTGGTTTTGTTATTATTTTATATTAATATGTAGTAACATAACTCTTCGGCAAATTAGTCCAACTTAATCTATATCTATGATATAGTTCTTTACTTTTTTAAAACTTTATTTGCATGTATGCTCTTGAAAAATACAATGCTTGACATGAATTTACATTTACCTGTTGGTTTCACGCACTTATTACACGTTTGTTTGTATAAATGTCACGTGGCTTGGGTAGGCCCAATTTGACACACTAGTTTGTGGAAACTTTTTCCTGGAGATGAGAGGTATGGACGCTCATGCGTTGGGTGATGTGCAGGCAACTGATCTACAACTACCCCGAGCAACTGTTCGCCGACGCCGGCGTCATGGCCATCGAACACAGTGACTTCGATGGCATGGAGCGTCTTGCTCTGGTCACTGGTGGCGAGATTGTCTCCACTTTCGACCACCCTGAGCTAGTCAAGCTTGGCAAATGCGATCTCATTGAAGAGGTAGATTCTACAAGTTGCCGATCATATGTACAGTTGAAATGACTTCCTATCATTTAAATTTTCTTACTTAAAAACTTTCTTATCATTTAAATTTTATTCTCTTCTAATATTTACTAATATAACCTGGCATGATATCAGTTCTGCACTGCCTATAATAATGACTACCAGATCTTTCATGATATAACGTTTTGCTTTTTTTGGTCTGTATTGTGAAGGCAAAACGCAAGATAATATTGGTCAGAAATCTTTTGTTACAGAGCACATGACTTACATTAGTATTGGCATCTTTTTGTGTCCTTACTTTTATTTAGTATTGCAGCAAGCTTACACCTTGGCACGATGAATATTTCATATGAAGAATTTCAAGTCGATGGTAATCTATTATATTCCGTATTAACGGTATTATGCAAAGTACCATAGAAACGATAATGATGGTTGTTATCAGGTAATGATTGGTGAGAAGCGCATGATCCGGTTCAGCGGAGTTGCCATGGGCCAAGCCTGCACAATCATCCTGCGTGGAGCTACTCAGCAGATCCTAGACGAGGCCGAACGTTCCCTTCATGACGCGCTGTGTGTGCTCACGCAGACTGTCAAAGATCCGAGGGTCGTTTATGGTGGAGGTGAGTGCTCTTCAGGCAGATCTACTCCCTTCACTTCGGTTAGCGTAAACTACTCACTTTAAAAGTTCCCTCTGATGAGAAATGAGTAAGCATTACATGCGTCTAGAAATTGGAACATTCAATGATAAATTAACGGAGTAGAAAGGTGGCATCATTGCTGTCACCTCATGTCGTTAATTCAGAGAATATTTTACCTCACAGGTTGCTGCGAGGTGATCATGAGCCGTGCCATTCGTGAGGCGGCCACACATGTCGCTGGGAAGGAAGTGTTGGCCATGGAGAGCTTCTGTCACGCGCTCGACATGATCCCCACCATCATAGCCGACAACGCCGGCTACGACTCTGCCTTCCTGCTGGCATCTCTTAAAGCTGCTCATGCCAAGGAAGGTGGAGCTTCTTACGGCCTCAACATGGATACGGGCGCTGTGGGCTGCATGGAAGACCTCGGTATCACCGAAAGCTACTTGGTGAGTCATGCAACAAATTTTGAGGGGTCAACATCTGTGGTCTCTTACTTAGAACTCTCTGGTGCCTCAGCTTAGACTCGCCGTATGATGGGCTTGCAAACTCTTCGTCATCCAGCCATCACTTGTCCTCTATGTGAATTTGTCAACAGAATTGCCAGAAATTATGAGTAACGAGTCTTGACTGCTCAATAGAATCTGAGCATCTACTTTCATTTTCATTATCGAGCTGTTTAGTTAATGGTTAGAACGGTCACCCATGTGCAATACCGCTAATGCTACGTATAAAATAATACAAACGTGCAAATCTTCATTTAAGATGTGTTTTCTTGCAGGTTAAACGGCAGGTTCTAATTACTGCCTCCGAGGCGGCTGAGATGATCATTCGTGTTGACAACATTCTCAAATCTGCGCCACGTAAGCGAACCACTGACCGCAGTCACTGCTGAGGCGTGAAGAGCTACCTTCTTTGTCCTACGCTACACCTAACGTCTGCTACTCACGCCTTTCTTGTGATTAATTTAACGCTATTTTCTACCATGTTGTTCCAGAACAAATTCAAGCGATGAACTAACTGTACACTAATATCTCAGACAAAAGAAGTGCGATTAACGAATGCTGGTTTTATTGTCCTGACATAATTGCCACGGTAAAATTCCTACGAAATTTTTGGTTGATTACTGCGCACAAAAATAATCGTTGCTGAATTCTATTTGCTACAATCCACTTTGTGATCTGAGGAGTTGTTCTAGAATCTAGATGAATTATAAAAATGAAGCAATTTCTAAATTGTTATGACGCTTGTCTCCGCTAGTACAACTTTTGGTGGGGCTGGAGATATAGCTTAGCTATTTTGACCAGTTTTTATAAGTGTAACTTTTTGTGGAGATATGCATAATCCGTACACCTAAAATTTTTGGTTTAATCTGATGCTCATAATCTCCCTTCGTCTCTGGAAAAACGTACGAGTTATTTTGGGCTCGCACATGCCATGCTGCTGTACCTCGCTCGATGGCCATCATGCGCTACCTCGAATCGTGGATAAAAGCTTGTATTTAAGCGGCAGCTCTTCCAAAAAATTCGTTTTTAATGCTTGCATACGTTTGCACCGGCCCGAATTTTTAGGGCAACTGTAGATTTTTGCTCCAATTAAAGTTTTACTAAGAAATGTTCAGTCAGAAGACAGATTACAGATTAAAAAAAATAAGAACGTAAGTATTATATGTGCTCACGTCCTATTAGAGTGGCGGCATAAAATGGAAACTGCCACTTCGATCGTAACTGATGTAACTCAAATGTTATTAAAATAAGGTTAGTATTAGCTGCTGCAATTTAGTTCTGACCAAAAAAATGACTTCTATGAATAAAATTTTAAATTACTTGGCCGCACAAATGACATTTGTGAGGTAATTGTGACTGTGTTTAAACTTGGAATGCAGATTAATTTATTCGAGAATCCAATCAAATTTATTGGATAATATTGTGATGGTTCCCATATAAGTAATTTTAGAACAATTTTTTACATCTGCCAGATGATAACTTTATCTACGAAAATCTTCTATGAAGCGTTTCACGAGAGTGTTATGGGTAACTTATAGTGTTCGATTGTTCATGGATAGTTATTCACACAGCAAACAAGCACGGTAGTATTTCCATTGGCTAAAGCAATGACATTTCCGATCTGTCCTTGGATGATTAGGAGTTACTTAATGAGACAGCTGAGGCTAATCCAAATCTCACAAAACTTTAAAAAATATTCAATTTCACTTGAAAACTATCATTAAATTGGATTGAAAGTTTTGTTTGTACAATTTTTGTCCCCCAATTTGCGACCTACTTTGCGCGTCGGATGATTTTCAATTCTCCCCGAGAGTCATAATACTATGCCAAGAATAATTGTTCGTTCACAGGATAAAATAACTGCTTTAACAATAAAACAATTAAAGTTAGTAAAATGAATATTTAGCACGATTAAACAGATGTTAGCCATATTAATGCATGTAAGTTTACATCACAGATTTCATTCTGAAATGAATTTGCCTCAAGTGGATGACGCCTTGCGATGATTCCCGCGGGTCGGAGGTGGTTGTTTCTTGTTTTTGTTGTTGTTAGGCTGTTGAACGTTTGTTGAGTGATACGTGTTCTGATATTTGCCTTTTGCAGTGTACGCACTACCTCGATACTCGTATTAAATATTACTCATTCCAGCTTTGACATTAGTAATATGCGGACGTATGATATTCATAACTTTTTACATCATTCGAAACCGTGTACAAATGACTAGCTCTACAAGGCTACCTCTACTTCTACAATAAAACTTAGCTACTCAATTTATAAGTTATGTGTGACTTATGACAGAAGTTGTGAGTTTGTCCGTATACGGGTACCTGGTTAATAAATCCATAGACCATAGTCGTTTATAAAATGACTTTTCCAATTAATTACAGTAGAGTGTCTGCACTGTTACCTGAATATTTGTTCAAAAATTACAATTGCATCACTCGACCAATTTTGTTGGCTGATGTAATCTAACACTGACGTGGCGTTTCATGCAAACCCGAAAAGAATAAGGAAACAATCACTCTTCAAACGATGCCACTATTTTTGGAGCATGAGACCATGATGATTTGACGAGTGTAGGCCTATTGATTTTGTACTGGTGATAGATATCCCTGTATCAGTCAGATGAAACAAGGCGCACAAATTATGGGTGAAGTCGAAATATCCTATTGTTCATTTAATTTTTTTCGTGTTTGAAAGGCTACAATTCAGGTTTGTCCTAAGTTTATACTTGCCACTGCGTGTTTTTAGCTGTAAATTTACTAGCTTGGCCATGAAAAAACTGTTCAAACTTAATTTAAACTTATTTACTCATAAGTTGTAATTCAATTGTTGTTCAAGTTGCCAAAGCAATTATATCACTAGCCTTCAAGTTCAACATAAAGAATTAATGTTATAAAAAGAACTGAACCACAAGGCACAAGCCAGTGAAGCCACAACTAGCCTACTAGGTATGTGTTAAGCAATAAGCAGGACTGCAGGATCAAAAGAGCTTGGTTTGCCTATCAAGTTATTAATTATTATGGGGCCATCTGCCAGCCCATAATTCCCATAAATAATCATTAGGTATAATTATGGAAAATTGGGTAGAAGCTACCTGCGATGGGGGGAAAAAAATGTCCATGCTTGTAGTTGTAGCCATTCAATTCCACTAATTTTTTATGCATGCCTAATTTATTTCTAAAATAATAAGTGAAACTGGTATACATATTTTGACCAACAATTTTCAGAAAATGTCCATGTTCCATGAAACCTTCAAAATCATGTAGGTATTGTGTTTTGAGCAAAAAGATAGTGGTCTGCAAATGTTTCATTTCACTAAGTTTTTAACTTTATTTGTTCAGTACTAACATACTTAGAGACTCATAGTGAGTACTACTTATGCTCTTTCAAAAATGTCCTGTACCAGTGTACCTACATTATATGCACCCAAATTTTTTGCTTCTGATCACACACACAGCTGCAGAAGTGCACTGTGCAGTAATGTCAGACAGTCAGACTGCAATATAACTGTATTGTTTCTTTGAAAAATTTGTGAGAAATGCATTATTGCATAAAGTTCAAAGCATATTACGTGGCAAAAAAGGTTGTGCGATTTCCAGGATAATGTTAGAGATGACGTAGATCATAGAACATGTTCATGGCTTGGAAAATGAACTTACAGTTTGGCAAATTAGTTTGTGGCTTAAAAGTAGCTTCCAGAAGCCTGGAAACTGAATTCATGGCTTTAAAAAATGGGAATGGCTCTAGTATTCAAGAATTCACTACTTCACGGCTCCAAAAATTCAGTCTTTCAGCCGAAAATAGATTTTTTTATGCTAAGAGAGCAGAATCTTTTTACCTAGAAATTGCATGAAAAAAAACTTTAGCGTTCAGAAATTTCTGCCCTATCTTTCAGATTGGTCATGTGGTACCGTAGTTGAACAATATAATATTGTAAAATTTTAGATAAGGAGGTTCTTCTGTCTTTCGTAATCCCATGTACTCCACCCATGGTAATTTGCTCAGTAGTTGGTATGGAGGCTCTAATCTATAATATTGGCTAGAATTTTCCAAAGTTTCCCAAAAAGAAGTTTAAAACTATTGTTTAATGGGCAATCACCAAAACTGTGAAGTTTTTCTCATTTTTCATGGAGGAAATTAGGCAAGGGCTATAAAAATGGGTGAAATTGATTGCAAGCATGGGTATTATCATCTCATTCTTAGGTCACTCCTCCTGATTTTCCAGAGATGCATAGGCTCACAGTGGCTTTGTGGGATGTTGTTTTTTGGAATGCCATGCCAATAGTTTTTATTTCTTACAAATCAATCTTGTTATTTTCTTGGGCACACAATTTTATCCATTGGTTCACTTAATCCCACATATTTGGTAGATCATACATATTACTTGTGTTGGATGTGAGGCAATCTATGAAGCTCGTGCTCTTGCTACTCTTTTTGCCAGAATAGCCTGCCCTCATCACAATATTTGGGATGCATCAATTCATGCAATTTTTTATGCATTTAAAGTATTTTCATTTAAAAATATGGTAAGAATAAATTTTTATGTGTTGTGTCACAGAACTTAATAAATATAAAAAATATAATTTTTTAGTTATTACGTGGTAATAGAACTCAATAAATCATAGTTCTGGCCAATATTATACGTTTTTTTAGTGACGACCGGAGATTCGAATGAATTATTTTGTAATGGCGACTCTTGTGTCATTGATGGTAGAGAATGAAAAGGTTCTAAGAAACAGCCATCGTTGAAAGTTGCAAATAAATTTGAAAATCACATGTTAGATATAATATATATATAATATAATATTAAAATAATTTTTAAATTCATTTTTTCATATTTTGCATTGGCCTGAAAATTCATGATTGAAGCCAAAATCACTTAATTTGTGGTCTCTAAAGATAAAATATGTGGGAATAGTCAGATGTTGCAGTTCATTGCTATGCCATCCCTATGTGGAGTAATAGCAGCCTATTCTGTGAGCAGCAGTTGTGAGGTACTGCTTCCTTGGCTATGCTTTCCTTACCAACATCACATTGAGGCTCATAAATACTTGTGTATTATCTAACTTCTGCTGATCTAAGCTTTCATATTCCACTCTTGTCCCCTGGCAAGCCATAAGCTATTACAAGCACAGTGTTGCTCATCATAGATGCTTTTGTCTTTGGTTTAAGTGAACCAACTTTTTTCTAAATTATATGCATTCAGGACTCATCCTGTTCATTATTTGTGAATTGGTAAAGATGCTAATTGGTTGATTAATTTTTTTATAGCTTGTATTTATCATGTATCAAACTTGAAAAATGTATGCTTTTGTTTGAGCAAAAGAAAAAAATGGTTAAAACTCTATGATTCCCATTGTTAGGATATTTATATAAATTGCGGGTGCTGTTATTTGGATAGCTAAGAATGATCAATCTTTGTGTAGTTTCTAGCATTGGCACTTTCCTGCTAGGAACAAGCCAGTTGTTGTTGTTGTTGTTGCTGTTCCACGGTCTCACTTTTACAAGTCACCCCCCTTGCGCAAGTACGACACCACCGACAGGGGGTCGCTC